ATATATACACATACACACAACTGGAGACAAGAGCAGCAGATGTTGGTGGCAATGGGTAGAAAAGTGCAAAGTACAACTCTAGAATTGCTTTCCCATTCAACATTTTGCATTTTGTGTGACAGTGCTTGCAATCCCCACAAGGATTCCATTTCTATTTCCCCTTTCCTATCTCTTCTTGCCTTTAAGCTTTATTCTTTGGGAAAATGCTGCCCTTTTAAATATTAAATGGTTGATTGTCTTAAGGAGTGTTGCAGCTCACTCTAGAAACCTGTCTTCTGCCATATTGTCTCCAATAAACTATTGAGCTTAAGGTTAGACTTAGTGGGTCACAGATGCTTGGATATCTGACCTGCTTTTCTGGAAGGTTTTTGTTTTTAGAATCATGCTGGTTTGTGTGTTTGTTGATTTGGGGGTTTTTTTGTGGCTTTTTTAAATTTGGAAATTTAGAATCATGTGAAACTGGTATCAGCAGACCCATCGGTAATAGGAATAAGTCTTAGTGGGCTCTGGCTACTCTTAGGAGGTTCTTAAGGTAGAAAATGGGTCATCTTCCCCTTGACAAAGTCAGCCTCTGACCATTGTTAAACTTTTAAGTTTTCTTTTAAAAAATAAAACTGTATTTGAAAAAACCAAAAAATATATAAAGAAACACAGCACATAAAACCCAAGGACATCTACATAAATGGAGAAAATTATACCATGCTCATGGATCAGAAGATTTAGCATTATGAAAATGGTAATATTACCAAAAGCAATTGACAAATACAATGGAATTCCTATCCAGATACCATCATCATTTTCCCATTAAATGGGAAAAAATAACCACAAATTTCAAATAGATAGAAAAAAGACCCCAAATAAGCAAAGAAGTACTGAATAGGGAGGCCTTACACATCCTGCTCTCAAAACCAACCACACATCATGCTAATCAAAACAGCACTGTAAGTGGCGGGTATACTGACCAATGAAAAAAACTGAGACCTTGATTAAATTTCTCTACCTATGGACAACAGGTCTTTGACAGTGAGAAGAAATCCATTACATGGTGAAAAGACACTCTGTTTAAAAAATTACAAAACTAAACATCTATTTGCAGAAACTAGAAACAAGATTCATACTTTATAGCATATACAAGAATAACTCAAGTTCAGGGACCTTGGTGTAAAACCTAAAACTATTAAGATCATCAAAGAAAAAAAATGGGGTGAATTTAGGCACCCTAAGCTCAGACACAACTAGGTTATCAAATACAACTAATGCACAATCAACAAAGGATAAGTTACATGTTGGGAACTCCTAAAACTTAAATTTTTAAGTGCACCACCAAAATCTCCTGTCATAGAGTTCAAAGAGAATATAAACATTGGTGGAAAATATTTGGCAATGGAACATCTGACAAGGGACTCATTTCTAAAATGTACAGAAAACTCAAATATCTTACCAAGAAAAACACAAGCATCCCAATTACAAAATGAGATTGAAACTTCGCCAAAGAAGACACCCATATGTCCAGTAAATATTGAAGAACTGCTCAAGACCATTAACTAATGTTGTTTTATATACCATCAAGTCAGAACCTACCCATAGCTGACCCTCCAAGATGTTTTCAGTGACAGTAAATTGCATGGGAGGAAATTGCCTGTCTTTCTTCCACAGAGCATCTGATAGACTTAAACCAAGTGCCTTTGGGTTGACAGTGCAACTACTTATATTAAGCTACCGAGCTCCCCCATTAACTGTTAGAGAGAAGTAAATAAAAATAAAAATTAGGTACCATCTCTTGCAGTAACAATGGCAAAGTACAAGACAGAAAACAACAAATCCTGGTGAGAGTTTGGAGAGATAAGACCTTTCATAGAGTGCTGTTCAGACTATAAAATAGTGCAACCACTATGGAAAACAGTTTGACACTTCATTAGAAAGTTAGAAATACCATTTGAGCAAGCAGTCCCACTACTAGGTTTATATCTCAGAGAAATAAGAGCTGCAACACAAACTGAACTACTCATGTTCATTGCAGAATTATTTATAATAGCGAAGACTTGGAAACAAGTTCCCATCAATGGATGAATGTTTGGAAGTACCCTGGTATTCACACAATGAAGTCGCTAATAATGATCAAGAATTTGGGAAATATTGCCAACATTAATGTTTTATCATGCATATTTATCAAAAGAGCTAAAGTTGAGTTATAAATGTTCTCTTTTAAAAATATAGCAACTGAAGAATAGTTTGATGAAATTTGGGAAACCATGGAAGATGAATCCAGGAGATGGAGCATTTTATGGTCCTAAAGTAAGTAGACTATATGCTTCAAACCAAATAAAACTTTAAAGAAAAAGAAAAACTGTCTCTGAGTAAAAATGAATTAATTTACAGATTGATATAAAAATCAAGGATGCTATTGGCAGACACCATCAGTGTGCTACAATTCAGCTGGACTTCCAACTACCTATTAGATTTAATCTTACATATGTTAGGTGAGTAATTTCCTATGGTTATTTGTCATTTGAATAATAGCAATAAAAACATTTAATAAATTTTTCTTGTTAATAGCTATGAAGTTGGAATCTTCTTAATGTGTTATGGAGTAGAATTGTTCATAGGGGTTTTGTGGTGCAACTTTTATAGGAGCAGCTTGTTAAGTAGCAGCTGATTGCAAACTGCTTGCACTACACAGGATCCTTGTTGTGTTATGTGCTGTTGAGTTGCTTGTGGCTCAAAGTCTGACTTCTAATGCAATATTGAAAAGGAGTGATGATAAAGGGCATCCTTGCCTGTCTCACAAAAGAAGTGTTTTGTGACCCTCTCCACTGAGATTTATGTTGGCCATTATTACTTGTTTTTGTTGTCAGTTGTTCATTTATTAAACTTTTGTAAAAAAATTCTTTTATACTCGTTTGCTTACAAAGTTTGTATACATTGTGCTTCACAAAAGCCCTGGCTGTGGCTGTGTGGGACAGCAGTGTTGTGTCTCATGTTTATTGTGGCTATTGTCTTTGTCTCACTGGCACAGAAATCTCCAAACCATAAGAACATTTGCTGTATTCTTTGCTTCTCCTTCCTTGCTGATACTGATATTGTCTTCTGCTGTTAAACCTGCTCAACTTAATCCTGATAGGAATGACAAAACTAACCAATCTCATCATGAGCCATCTACTTACCTGGTTTGCATATTCTCACCCAGCCAAGACATGGAAATCAGGGCCAATGAGCTATAAAAGCCATTTTGCTCACACCATAATTATTTTGGGAGCTCTGGTAGCCTAGTAGCAAGAAACTGCACTGCAATTCCTAAAGCACATGGTTTGAGGCCATCAGCTGCTCTGCAGGAGGATGGGCAATCTCCTTCCATACAATTAAGTGCCTCTGAAAACCCATTGGAGGGTCAGCTATGAGTCAGTTCTGACTCTGTGGTACATAACAACAACAACAATAGTTATATTAACAGGTCTTCCTTGTATGCATATGGATAGTTTCCTATCATTCACAGCATTATGTGTCAGAATAGAGCTTAAAAATGCTCTTTTTTTACAAAGAATGCCACACCATTCCTTTTCTTTTTTTTTTTTTTATGAAACGCATTGTTTATTTTCCATCAACCTTATTTCCACATTTTAAGACAGTTTAAGACCATTCCGTGGTGGTACCCACCCACTCAGTGGCCTGAGCAGTGGGGGCTGCAGACCAGTCTTCAGTTGCAGGCTGAGCACTCCAGTCTTCGGTAGGGAACTGCTGAATCGGCACAGAGGGCACCTTGGACGCCTTCGGACCAGTCTGTCACTTCAGGCTGAGTAGCAGTGAATTCAGGAGCAGGGGCGGTCCATTCTCCCTGAAACTCCTCCTTGGTCACAGCCTTTTCAGCAGCAGCCTGTTCTTCCTTTTCAATCTCTTCCAGATCTCTGTAGAAGTACAGATCGGGCATGACCTCCCACGGGTGCTCCCGGGAGATTGTGCCACGCATGCGCAGGACTTCCCGGACCAGCATCCACCACATCAGACCCACAGAGTGAGCTCCCTTGTTGTTGCACGGGATAGCAATGTCTACATAACGCAGAGGAGAATCTGTGTTACACAGAGCAATGGTGGGCAAGTTAACGTAAGATGCTTCTGTCAGAGGTTGGTGGTCAGTCCTGGGATCAGTAACCACCAGAAGACGAGGCTCCCGGAAGGCTGCCTGGATCTGGTTAGTGAAGGTTCCAGGAGTGAAGCGCCCGGCAATAGGAGTGGCTCCAGGAGCAGCAGCAAACTTCAGAACAGCTCTCTGGCCTGTATTTCTGGAGGAAATGACACTGACATCAGCTGGATTTTCAATGGCAACAATGGCGCGAGCAGCCAAGAGCAGCTTCTCCCAGGTCCTCTTCAGGTTTATGATGTAGATGCCATCACTTTTCCTTTTGTAGATGTATTGTTCCATTTGGAAGTCAAGGTTGGTGCCGCCCAAATGGGTTCCTGCTGCAAGGAATTTGAGGACATCCTCCTCCTTCATCTGCAGGACATCAAGGGCTCCGGACATTGTGGAAGTTTCCCTTTTAAGTTACGACGGGAACCAGAACAACGCCGTATGGACCCTTGTGCGGGTAGCGAGGAAAAGCACACCATTCCTTTTCAATTTGTCATTCTTGGATAGCAGAGCATATTATTGTCAGATTAAAAATGGCCAATACCAGTCCATCTAAATTCAATAATGCCAAGGACGTTGTTCTTTTATGTAGTCCATTTCATTTTTATAGCTTCAAATGTTCCTAAATCCAGACTTTGTACATTTCATGTTTCAATTATTAACAGACGTTTGCAACTGTATCTTCTCATTTTGAGCCTTGCTACATCAGAAAATAACGTTCATTTATTAGGTGGAAAACTTTATTCCATCCCTGTCATTAATATAGAATCTTCTTTGAAGAGATAGATCTTCTCCAGTCACAGCTTGAGTGCCTTCTCACCTAGGGGCTTATCTGCCAGTACAATTTCCAACAACCCATTATCTGTAAGGTTTTTAAGGCCTTGTATTTCAGAAGTGGATGGCCAGTTATGCTTCTTAGTCTGTCTTAATGTGGAAGCTCTGCTGAAACCTATTCACCATGGGTGACCCTGCTGATATTTGAAATACTATGTGACATAGATTGTAGTGTCACAGTGACACACAGTTATTACAGTACAGACATTACAGTAGTCAATTGACAGATAAGTGATGGCAATTGAATTATATTGTTGTTGTTGTTGTTATGTGTCATCAAGTCACTTGCAACTCAATAGCAACCCTATGTAAAATAGCCCTGAAACCTGCTCTATTTATGCCAACTTTATTGTCTCTGACACATCTTCCCTCATTACCCTAGTCACTGAATCAATCTATCTCATCGAGGGTCTTCCTCTCTTGTGCTGTACCTCCACCCTTCCAAGCATGGTGTCCCTCTCCAAGAACTGGTTTCTCCTTGCAGTATGCCCAAAGTATGATAAACAAAGCTTCAGAATCCTTGCTTTCAAGGAACAGCTTGGTTTTATCCTCTCCAAAATGAACCTATTTGTTCTCCTGGAAGTTCATGGTATATTCAATATTCTTCCCAGCACCACAGCTCAAAGGTATCAATTGTCTTTCTATTATCTCTAATGATTGTACAGCTTTCTGACTCATAGCAAGCAATTGTTAAGACTATGGCCTAGATCAGGTGCACCTTAGTCTCCAGATAGATATTGTTGCTCTTTAGTACTCTAGAGAGGTCTCTGACAGCAGACTTTCCCAATGCAATTTGTCTTTTGATTTCCTGGCCGCTGGTACCAAGAGTGTTGACTGTGGAGCAAAGCAAACGAAAGCAATTGACAATCTCAGTCTCTTTACCATTTATCATAATGCTGCCAATTGGCCCAATGGTGAGAATCTTTGTTTTCTTGATGTTGAATTCAACCCATATTGGAGGCTACAGCCTTTGACCTTCTGCAGCAAGTGCTTCAGGCCCTCCTCAGTTTCAGCAAGCAGGGTTGTTATCTGCATAACACAGGTAGTTGATGAGTCTTCTGCCAATCATGATGCCACATTCCTCCTCATAGAGCCCAGCTTCCCAGATAATCTATGTAAATATTTTAAAAATTTTGTTTTCTACTTTTATAGTACTAGCGATATTGTAGCTGATGTTAGATGGATCTTGGCTGAAAGCAGGGAATACCAGAGGAATGTCTATCTGTGTTTCATTGACTATGCAAAGGCATTTGACTGTGTAGATCATAACAAACTGTGGCTGACTCTGAGAAGAATGAGAATCCCAGAACACTTGATCATTCTAATGCAAAACTTATACTTGGACCAGGAGGCAGTCATCAGAACAGAGCAAGGGAACACTGCATGGTTCAAAATTGGGAAGGGCGTACGCCAGGGATGCATCTTATCTCCATACCTTTTCAACCTATATGCAGAACAGATTATCCAGGAGGCAGGGCTCTATGAGGAGAAATGTGGGGTCAGGATTGGTGGACGATTTATCAACAATCTGCGTTATGCGGATGACACAACCCTGCTTGCTGAAACTGAGGAGGACCTGAAGCGCCTGCTGCAGAGTGTTAAGGACTGCAGCCTACAATATGGATTGAGGCTCAATGTCAAGAAGACAAAGATTCTCACCACTGGACCAATCGGCAGCATCAGGATGGATGGTGAAGAGATTGAGGTTGTACACAGCTTTAGTTTGCTTGGCTCCATAGTCAACAGTCTTGGCACCAGCAGCCAGGAAATTAAAAGGCGCATTGCCATGGGAAAGTCTGCTGTTAGGGACCTCTCCAAAGTGCTGAAGAGCAGTGGTGTCTCTCTGGAGACTAAGGTGCGTCTGATATAGGCCATGGTCTTCGCAATCACCTGTTATGCATCAGAGAGTTGGACAATGACCAAGGAGGATAGAAGGAGATCTGATGCCTTTGAGCTGTGGTGCTGGAGAAGAGTACTGAGAATACCATGGACTGCTAGGAAAACAAATAGATTTGTCCTGGAGAGGGTTAAACCGGGTGGCTCCTTGGAGGCAACGATTCTGAGGCTCCGTCTAACTTACTTTGGACATGTAGTGAGGAGAGACCGGTCCTTGGAGAGGGACATCATGCTTGGGAGGGTGGAGGGACGGCGCAGGAGAGGAAGGCCCTCTATGAGGTGGATTGATTCAGTGACTGGGATAATTGGGATGGGAGTGTCAGAGACAGTGCGATTGGCACAGGACAGAGTGGAGTTTAGGGCTGTTGTACATAGGGTCGCTATGAGTCGCAGGCGACTCGACGGCACATAACAACAACAACTTTTGTAACTCACAAAGTAATTTATCCCATGATTTACCTTTGGTGTTTATCACAATGAGAATTTGGATGTAGAAACTTATTCTAAAAAAAATATTTAATGTCTTTGACAACTGTTCAACTAAGTACAGGTGAAGTAGCTAAATTTAAAATCAAGATTCTTTTTTAATCATCAATTTGAAATGGGATTCCTTCTCAATATCATTAACTGGATGTTATTAAGAAGGAAATGGAACACATAAACATTGACATACTAAGTACTGGTGAAATGAGATAAACTGGCACAGGACATTTTGAGTCAGAGGATCATATGATCTACTATGCTGGAGACTAAAAGGTGAGGAAAAATGGGACTGCTATCATAATTTTAAAAAGTCATTTCTAGATATGTCTTGAAATACAATGTTGTGAGTGACAGGATAATATTCATACACATACAAAGGAAGTCCAGTGAATAACACCATCATTCAAATATATGCATCAACAACCAGAGTTAAAGAGGAGAAAATAGAATATTTCTACCAACTTTGCAGTTCGAGATTGATCGAACACGCAATAAAGATGCATTAATTATAATGGGTGACTGGAATGCAAAAGTTGAGAATAGAGAAGAAGGATCAGCAGTTTGGAAAACACAGACTTGGTGACAGAAATGAAGCCAGAGATAGAATGATAGAATTTTACACATTAATGACTTAATCATTGCAAATATATTTTATAAGAAACATAAATGCAGGCTATATACATGGATTTCACCTGATACTATGCATAGTAATGAGATTGATAACATCTATGGACAGAATCGCTGGAAAAGCTCAATTCCAGTTGTGAAAACTAAGCCTGGTGCTGATTGTGAAACAGTCTATCAGCTACTAAGATGCAAGTTCAAACTGAAGCTGAGGAAAATTAAACTAAGTCCCCAGTAACCAAAATTTGAGCTTGAGTCTATCACACCTGAATTTCAAAACCATCTCAGGAACATGTTTAAGGCTTTGGACATTAACGAGCAAAGACAAGATGAGCTATGGGACAATATCAAGAATATCAACCAGGAAAAATGCAAAACACCATTACAAAGACAGAAGAGGAAGAAAAGACCAAGACGGATGTCCGAAGAAATTCTAAATATTGCACTGGAGTGCCGAGAAGCCAAAGCAAAGGGAAGAAATCAAGATATTAAGGAGCTTAATAGAAGATTTCAGAGGGCAGTGCAGGAAGAGAAAGTAAAGTATTACAATGAAATGTGCAAGGAGCTGGAGTCAGAAAATCAAAAGGGCCGAACTCACTCAGCATTTCTTAAGCTGAAGGAACTGAAAAACAAATTCAAGCCTCGAGTAATAGTACTTAAGGATGATTTGGGCAAAATATTAAGTGATCCAGGAAGCATTAAAAGAAGGTGGAAAGAGTATTTTGGTACCGAGACATTGTACCAAAAAGAATTGGTGGACACAGAAGAATTTCATGAAACAATATATGAGCAAAAGCCTGTGGTGATGAAGGAAGAAGTTCAAGAATTGGTAAAAAACAAGGCCCCAGGAATTGATAGTATAGTGATGGAAATATTTCAACAAACATGCTGCCCTGGATGTGATCACCAATTTGTGCCAAGAAATCTGGAGGACAACCATATGACCAATTGACTGGAAGATATCTATATTCATTCCCATTCCAAAGAAAACCGATCTGACAGAGTGTGGAAATTACTGAACAGTACCACTGATACCACATGCAAGCAGGATTCTGCTTAAAATTATCCAAAAACATCTGGAAGACCACATCAGCAGAGAACTACCTGAAGTGTATGCTGGATTTAGAAGAGGCTGGGGCACTAGGGATATTACAGCTAATGTCAGATGGATCTTGGCTGAAAGCAGAGAGTACCAAAAGAATTTCTATCTGTGTTTCATTCACTATGCAAAGGCATTTGACTATGTGAATCACAACAAACTGTGGCTGATTCTGAGAAGAATGGGAATCACAGAACATTTGATTGTGCTTATGCGAAACCTATACTTGGATCAGGAGGCAGTCATCAGAACAGAGTAAGGAAACACTGCAGTGTTCAAAATTGGGAAGGGTATGTGTCAAGGATGTGTCTTATCTCCATCTCTTTTCAATCTACATGCAGAACAGACTATCTGGGAAGCTGAGCTCTATGAGAAGTGTGGCATCAGGATTGGAGGTAGACACATCAACAGTCTGCGTTATTCAGATGACACAACCTTGCTTGCTGAAACTGAGGAGGGCTTGCTGCAGAGGGTCAAGAACTGCAGCCTTCAATATGGATTGAAGCTCAACATCAAGAAAACAAAGATTCTCATCACTGGGCCGATTGGCAGCATCATGATAGATGGTGAAGAGATTGAGATTGTTAACAACTTCTGTTTGCTTGTCTCCACAATCAACATTCTTGTTACCAGCAGTCAAGAAATCAAAAGATGAATTGCATTGAGGAAAGTCTGCTGTCAGCGACCTCTCCAAAGTACTGAAGAACAACAATGTGAGTCTGGAGATTAAAGTGCGCCAGATACAGACCATGGTCTTTGCAATTACTTACTATGCGTTAGAGCACTAGACAATGACTAGGGATGATAGGAGAATTGATGACTTTGAGCTGTGGTGCTGGAGAAGAGTATTGCATATACCAAGGACTGCTAGAAGAACAAACAAGTTCATCAAGGAGAGAGTGAAGACAACTGCTCCTTGAAAGCAAGGATTCTTAAGCTTCGTCTGACACACTTTGAGCATGTTGTAAGGCGTGATCAGTCCTTGAAGAGAGGCTTCATGCTGGAGAGGGTGGAGGGACAGCACAGGAGAGGAAGACCCTCGATGAGATGGATTGATTCCGTCACTGGAATTATAGGTATAGGCATGTCGGAGACAATAAGATTGGCAAGGGATAGAGCAGGGTTTAGGGGTGTTGTACATAGGGCTAGTATGAGTTACAGACAACTCCACAGCACATAACAACAACAGCAATGTATCATTTAGAATAAAAAATATTAGCAAAGTACTAGAGATATCAATCTGATGTCACTTTCAATTTTCTACAAGCTTTCCCTTAATATTAGTGCTATTTTACTTCCAGTTAGTTCATAAAAGACAGCAGAATGTGAAAGAAAAGTCTTTTTTATTTCTAATAATTTGTACTCTATATGCTTGAAACTTAAGAGGAATCATTCACTTCAGTTGAGGAAATAACTTTTACATATAACATAACAAGATGAAGTTATGACTAAATCTTAAGAACATATTAAATGTGTCATTTAATATTTTTTATTTTTTTTTTAGTAAGGATGGGGATGATAAGAAGAGACCTGTAATGATACATCGAGCTATTTTGGGATCAGTGGAAAGAATGATAGCCATTCTCTCAGAAAACTGTGGGGGAAGATGGTAAGTGCCATGGAATTAAAATTTTAAAAATTGTTTTAGTGAAATATACATAGCAAAACCTACTCATGGTTGCTGTGATGCTAAACACTGTGACACTGATGTGTCAAATGCGATAATGGTTACCCATGGTGAACAGTGTTTGGTGGAGCTCCCCGATTAAAACAAGCTTGGTAGCAGGAGTGGCATCCATTTGTGAAATAGCTTGCCTCTGAAAACTCTATGGACTTGGAGAAACAATGAAAGTTATACAAGTGGTCAGGTCTTTTGTTCATAGGGTCACTATGAGTTGCTTACAACTTGATGGCACTTAACAATATATTCTCTCTCTGTGTGTAAAATTATATATATAGTTGTTGTTATGTGCCATCGAGTCGCTTACGACTCATAGCAACCCTGTGTACAACAGCCCTAAACTCTGTTCTGTCCTGTGCCAATCACAAAGTCTCCAATACACCCATCCCGATTACCCCAATTACTGAATCAATCCACCTCATAGGGGGCCTTAGCCTTCTGTGCTGTCCCTCCACCCTGCCAAGCATGATGTCCCTCTCCAAGGACCTGTCCCTCCTTGCAACATGTCCAAAGTATGTTCGATGGAGCCTTAGAATCCTTGCTTCCAAGGAGCAGCTTGGTTTGACCCTTTCCAGGATGAATCTGTTTGTTTTCCTAGCAGTCCATGGTACCCTCAGTACTCTTCTCCAGCACCACAGCTCAAAGGCATCAATTCTCCTTCTATCCTCCTTAGTCATTGTCCAACTCTCTGATGCATAACAAGTGAGATATAGATACAAATGCTGAACATAGAAATTCCACATGACCCAGCTATTCCACTGCTTGGAACATACCCTGAGAAAATGAGAACTGAGACACAAACAGAAACTTGTATACCAATGTTCACAGCAGTGTTATTCACCATCACAAGAACATGGAAACAGACCAAATGTCCAACCACAATAAGTAGATTGAGAAATTATGATACATTCACATGATGAAATACTACGCAGCATGCAGGAACAATTATTTTGTAAATCATTACCTAACTTGGGAGGGACTGAAGGGCATTATGCTGAATAAACTAACTCAGTCCCATAAAGACAAATACTGTGTAAGACCATTATTGTAGAATGTGTATAAGGATCCAAGGGGGAGAGAGTGAAAGCAGAGGAGGGAGGATGGGCAGGGGTGGGGGCAGGTAATCATAGTGTTTCACAATTCGATGGGTGAAGGGAGGGGTGGATAAAGGAAGTGGGAACAATCCAGTGTGAAAAACAATGTATACAAACTTAAAACTTTAAATAAATTTAAAAATTAATTCTCAAAACCCCTCGCCTGCGCTTTTAGCACTACGGTCCGAGATGTCTTCCTCAGGCATGCCCGACCTGCCCACCCCTCTCACCAACTTCAAGATTGAACACACTAAGATATTCATAAACAATGAATGGCATAACTCAGTGAGTGGCAAACAATTTCGTGTTTTCAATCCAGCAACCGAGGAGAAAATCTGTGAGGTGGAAGAAGGAGACAGGGCAGATGTTGATAAAGCGGTGAAGGCTGCAAGAGAAGCTTTTCAGATTGGCTCTACATGGCGAACTATGGACGCTTCAGAAAGGGGACGGCTCCTCTTACTTGAGAGGGATCGCCTGCTGTTGGCATCAATGGAGGCCATGAATTGTGGAAAAGTATTTGCCGCTGCCTATCTGATGGACTTAGAGTTCAGCATCAAAACTTTACGCTACTGCGCAGGCTGGGCTGACAAGATCCATAGCCGGACGATACCTATGGATGGAGACTTCTTTGGTTATACAAGACATGAGCCAGTTGGTGTGTGTGGCCAGATCATTCCTTGGAATTTCCCGCTGGTCATGCTTAGTTGGAAGTTAGGACCTGCTCTTTCCTGTGGTAACACCGTGATTGTCAAGCCGGCAGAGCAGACGCCTCTCTCAGCTCTTTATGTGGCATCTCTGATAAAGAGGCAGGGTTTCCTCCAGGAGTGGTGAATATTGTGCCCGGTTATGGACCCACCGCAGGAGCAGCCATCTCTTCCCACATGGACGTCAACAAAGTGGCGTTCACAGGATCAACAGAGGTTGGAAAATTAATTTAAGAAGCTGCTGGGGAGAACAATCTGAAGAGGGTGACCCTGGAGTTTGGCGGGAAGAGCCCCTGCATTGTGTTTGCGGACGCGGACTTGGACAACGCAGTTGAATTTGCACACCAGGGATTATTCTTCCACCAAGGCCACTGTTGTGTAGCTGCATCCAGGCTTTTTGTGGAAGAATCAATTTATGATGAGTTTGTTCGAAGGAGTGTTGAGCGGGCTAAGAAGTATGTTCTTGGCAATCCTCTGACCCCCGGAGTAAGCCAAGGTCCTCAGATTGACAAGGAACAATATGATAAAATAATTGACCTCATGGAGAGTGGGAAGAAAGAAGGGGCCAAACTGGAATGTGGAGGAGGCCCCTGGGGGAATATAGGCTACTTATCCAGCCCACAGTTTTCTCCAATGTGACAGATGATATGTGCATTGCCAAGGAGGAAATATTTGGACCAGTCCAGCAAATCATGAAGTTTAAATCTTTGGATGAAGTGATCAAGAGAGCCAACAGCACTTTCTATGGCTTAGCGCACCAAGGACCTTGATAAAGCTGTGACAGTGTCTGCTGCCCTGCAGGCTGGGACAGTGTGGGTGAACTGTTATATGGCAAATTCTGCCCAGTGTCCCTTTGGGGGATTCAAGATGTCTGGAAATGGACGAGAACTGGGAGAATATGGTCTTCATGAATATACTGAGGTCAAGACAGTCACAATGAAAATTTCCAAGAAGAATTCATAAAGAACTTCGTGAGGGTGGAGAGAAGTGTCAGTAGCCAAGCATCTTCTCTAACAGCTAGTATATTTCAGTGTCTTATCTTGATTTTTCTAAATAAGTAAACCACATTAGCAACAATATCCACACACAGTAAACTTGGCATGTAACTTACTCTGAACCAGTTTGATTTAATAGAAGATGTCTAGTTATCCTTTAGTTTATTCATTTACCAGTTCCTTGAAATACTTGATATTCATGTTAACTGCCAAGTAGAGATACTTTAAGTAGTTGTGAAATCATTGATGCTTCTTTACATGTTGATTAGAATGTGGTGCCTGCCTGTCAAAGGAAGTGATACCTGAACTAGCGATAATCTCTGTATAAACTTCAATAAAAACAACCTTGCATATAAAAAAAAATTAATCCTCTACTGCCACAAGAACCAACCAATCTGTTTGGGAGGAAGTGCGACCAGAATTCTCCTTAGAGGCAAGAGTGATGGAACTTGGTCTCGCATGCCTCGGGCATGTTGTCAGGAGAGGCAGGTCACTGGAGAGGGACATCCTAAGAAGCATGGAGGGCCAGGGAAAGGGAGGAAGATCCTCAACAAAATGGATTGACCTAGAGACTGCAGCAACAGTGGGGCTGGTGAGGTTGGCACAGAGAGTGCACAGTTTTGATCTGTTGTTCATAGTGTCACCACCGGTATAGTTGTATTGATAGGACCTAAAACAACCAAATCAGAAAACAAGAATTTTCAGAGAATTCCAGGCCCACAGATTCTGATCTGTTGATTGTAGAGGCATTGTCAGTCATAGTTGACTCAGTGGCACCTAACAACAACATCTTTATAGAATCAAATTAACAATAGTAACTGGCAAGATTAGATAGGACCCTTCAGGAACAATGAATTTATATCAATAAGAGAGAAGCAACTCAGAAAAAGAAGGTAAGAATAGCCATATAACTTTAAGGATATAATCAAGGTCACTAAATTTTACATGTAGGAAAGAATTTGTGAATACTTAGGTGTTGAACGACAGAATAAATTCAGGAAAAGGAAAGTAAAAGGCCAAAAGCATAGATATGCTTCATAGGTATGACTTTAACATGTTTATATTTGTTTGCAATTGATTCACATTTTTAGAAAAAATTAGTAGTAACATAAGTGAGAGATGGTTGCCAGCTCCAATGTGGTGGTGGTGGTGACAGCAGTGAAAAACTAGCAAGTAGACAACAACAAACAAACAATAAGTAACACTAATGAAAGAGAATGCAGTGGGAGAAGAGAAGGACGTGGTGTGAGTATCTGGGATGCACAGGGAATGAGTACACCCTCCTCTCAGTTGATAAATCAGGAATTCAGACCTCTATGAGTTAGAGTAGGATCGTAAAGAACCACAATTAGAAATGGTTAAAATTTTGACCTCTGGAGGACTAGGTCTTGGCAGCAGACAGCTCAGAAAGAAACATTTACTTTTTATTTATACGAGGTACTTCTGTGTTTTCTCAAATTTATTACTTTGCTTTTGTAATTTAAGGCTATATGTATAAACACATTCATAAATTCATAAATGCCACCTGGCTGTAGAGTCCACTGCTTTCCTTCTAGCTTCAAATGAAATTCTCATTATAATGAATAAAAAGACAAGCATTTCCTGTAATAAGCACTGCTTGTACCCATCTTCCTTCTTTACTCCTAATGAAACATATTATTATAATTATAGATTCACATACAGTTGTAAGAAATAATACAGAGAGGTCCAGTGTACTATCCACTCACTTCCCCAATGCTCACATCTTACAAAACTATAGATAGTATCTAAAAGGTTTGGAGAAGAGGGGGTGAATCTGGAATCAGATCAGGAGTACACGAATCAAGGTTGACATGTGAAGCAATAAACCAATTTATTTTCACCTGGGTGCACGCAGGCTGAACAAGTTCTCAAATTAGAAAGCAGCTCTTGCTGTTAGTGAAGGTTTAAATACAGAGATTATTTGTGGGTTCAGTAAGTCTTGGTTGGACAGTACTCTGTTGGCACCTTTTTTTTTTAAATCTTGCATAGGTGGTCTTAGGTCAGTTCATTTTCTATGGTATTCCTGAAACTTACTTATTTTCCAAATTCAGTTTCCCACTAGGAGTTGAACATCCTGAAAGTAGGGGAAGGGCTTTATCTGAGAAGTATAAATTCTAGCAACAATGAGGTCATTTTATCTTACCTAACAGTATTATAGTCAGAAAACATGTTCCACTAACTTGCTCAAATTTTACCAGTTTTACATGCACTCATTTGTGCCTTTGGATGTGAATAATTGGCTCTAAAAATTGCATGGTGTACTTTCTGCAGCCATATGGAACCACCACCAGTCAAGATACCTTGTATGATGACACAGAACCCTCATACTGTCCGTCATTGCCACACGTCCTCTACCTACACTTGTTCCTTTGTTGTTGTGTGCTGTCATCTCAAAACCAGTGAGTTTTTAGAAGCTGAAAATTGTATGGGAGGAGATTGCCCATCTTTCTTCAACAGAGTAGCTGGCAAATTAGAACCGATTATAAGAAAACTATACTTGGACCAGGAAGCAGTCCTCAAAACAGAACAGAGAAACCCTGCATGGTTCAAAATCAGAAAGGAATTGAGTCAGGGAGGTGTCCTATCTCCATGCCTTTTCCATCTATATGCAGAACAGAACATTCAGGAGATTATGCTTTATGAGGAGGAATGTGGCATCAAGATTGGAGGTAGACTTACCAACAACGTATGTTATGCAGATGACACAACCTTGCTTGCTGAAATTAAGGAAGACCTGAAGTGCTTGGTACAGAAAGTCAAGGACTATAGTCTTCAATATGGATTGAAGCTCAACATCAAGAAGACAAAGATTCTCAGCACTGGGCCAATTGGCAGCATCATGATAGATAGAGATTGAGGTTATTAGTAGTTACAGCTTGCTCAACTCCACAATCAACACTCTTGGCACCAACAGTCAGGAAATAAAAGAGATGGATTGCATTAGGTAAATCTCCTATCAGGGACCTCTCCAGACTACTGAGAAGCAACAATGTCAGTCTAGAGACTAAGGTGTGCCTGACCCAGGCCATGAATTACTTGCTATGCATCAGAGAGCTGGACAATGACTAAGGATGACAGAACAATGCATGCCTTTGAGTTATGGTGCTGGAGAAGAGTTTTGAACAAATTCGTCTGTCTTGGAGAGGGTGAAATCAAGTATCTCCTTGGAGGATAAGAAAGGGTGAAATTAAGTCTCTCTTTGGAGGATAGGCTTTTGAATCTCCATCTCACATACTTTGGCCATATGGACAGGAGGACTCATCCTTGGAGAAGGACACTATGCTTGGAAGGGTGAATGGACAGCGCAGGAGAGGAAGAACCCAGATGAGATGGATTGATACAGTAACTAGGGCCATGGGGTAAGTGTATCAGAGTGAGAGTGGCTCAGGACAGGGAAGTCTTCAGAGCTGTTATAAAAAAGGGTTGCTATGAGTTGCAGGCAACTCAACAGCCCATGACAACAACAACAACAACAACAATAAACCTCTTGTTAATCATCCTCTTTCCAGCTCCATATATGTTGTAATTTCAAGAATGTTACATGAATGGAATTTATTCATTGTGCAATGTTTTGATATTCCCCCCATACTCAACATAAGCCCTTTGAATTGCATCCAACTTGTTGTATTTTGTGTAATGTTTGGAGATATATATAAAATTGTAATGTTTGGGTATATATATAATATA